TAACAGATTAGATACATTTATTGACAAACATAAAATCCTCTCTGATTGCCAATACGGTTTTAGGTCGAACCGATCGACATCTTTGGCCATTACCGACCTGATGGAGGACATTACAAGTGCTATGGATGAGAAGAAATACATGATGGGGATATTTATTGACCTAAAAAAAGCATTTGACACAATCAATCATGAATTATTAATGGACAAGTTAGAAAAATATGGGATCAGAGGAATGGTTCTGAAATGGATTAGAAGTTATTTGACACAGAGGTGTCAATTTGTGAAGTTGGGTGAATACCAATCGAGTGAGCTGGATATTGTATGTGGAGTGCCTCAGGGTTCTGTTTTGGGACCTAAATATTATACATTATATCATATAATAACAGATTAGATACATTTATTGACAAACATAAAATCCACTTTGTAACACTTTGTAATAATTCTTTAGTATACAAAAGCTCACTTCAACCATTGTATACATTATATATTATACATTAATGATATATGCAAGGTTTCTGATTTAGTGAAAGTGGTTTTGTTTGCTGATGACACTACCATATGGGCATTGGGTGAAAACCTACAGCAACTCTCTGGACGGGTTTCACAGGAACTTGAGAAGATAAAGAAATGGTGTGACAGTAATATACTATCTCTGAATTTGGATAAAACTAAATTTATGGTATTTGGGAATCGTAGACTAGATAATGAACTTCAATTGAAAATTGGGGGAGCTAATATAGAACGAGTATATGAAATTAAATTTCTAGGTGTCATAGTTGATGACAAATTCTCCTGGAAATCTCATATCAGATATGTTCAGCACAAAATAGCAAAAAATATATCGATATTGGCAAGGGTTAGATATATTTTGGATGGGAAAGCACTACGCATTTTGTATTCTTCATTGATTTTACCATACTTAGAGTATGGCGTTGAAAACTGGGGAAACACATACAAAAGCTCACTTCAACCATTGTATATATTACAAAAAAGAGCGATAAGAATTGTGCATAAGATGGAGTATAGGGATCACACCAATGTAGCTTTCATACAGTCTAAATTGTTAAAATGTTTTGATTTAGTGGGATATAAGACTGCTGTGTTTATGTATAAAGCCAGGAACAATTTATTACCTGGTGGAATTCAAAAACTATTTAATGAAAGGGAAGGGGGATACAATTTAAGGGGTCAATTA